AGTTAATGGCAAGCAAACAATTACTTTTAGTGGTCATAAATGTTAGTTTTATATATATTTTTTAATGAGGAAATAATTAAATATAAAGCCATAATTTTTTTTGTATTTTAAAATGAAAAAAAATCTCAAAAAATTACAAAAAAAAACAAATAGGATTTGAGGCCTTAGAGAGCGCCACATCATCGATTTTATGTTTTAGCTTTATATATATATATGATTATATTTTTTTAAGCGGTACAGATTAAATATTTTTAATAAGTTATGATCTAAAATAACCCTAATAAATGATGAAATAATAAAGTGTAACCAATAAAATATAAAAATAATAATAATCGACGACAAGTCTAGTAATAAACCATGATAATTTTGTAAAAGTAGAAAAAAACTCGATCGAAACAAACAAATAAGTAGAAATACCACATATTTCGATATAAATTAGGCTCAAAATTTCAAGTTTAATAATAAACTTTTATGTGTACGGATGAACAAAAACAAAACAAAAAAATACTACCGAAACAAGCAAGAAAAGTAGAAAGTCAATAGTCATTTTGTAAATTGAGTTTTCAAAGTGTCATTTTGCTAAATCATCTAGAGTTGAAGAGAGGGAGTATTATATTTAAAAGGTACTCCTCTGTCCCAATTTATGTGACACATCTCATTTTTCGAAATTCAAACAAATTAAGTTTGACTGAAAATTTGCGTACGAAATCTTTAATTTTTTTGAAATGAAATTTATATATTTGTAAACTACGTAAAAAGTACTATAAGTCACAATATTTGACAATTAAAAATATTTAAAAGATATATGAAAAATTTACGGTAAAAAAATAAATTTGTTTGAATCTCGAAATCTAAAATGTATCACATAAATTAGACCAGAACGAGTAATATATAACAATGCTCTCTTTAACTTGAGAGAAACTACTACTCAACTTAATTTGAAGATTGTTAAAGAAGCTAAAAATGACTTGATAAACATAAAAGTGTGCATAACGACAACAAAGATGGAACTGATCGAGTGCATGAAAAATATGATCAATCACACAATCAACATGGATAACTTCTCTAGAATATTCACAAGAACACGACTCAAACCTTTCTTTTCGTTTAAGAAATTTCATATAAATGTACCGTTAAATTAAAGACGCATCTGGAGCCCAAACAAAAACAAACCTGATTCAAACACTATGTTAAAAGGATGGTCTTTGGGCCTAATACAATACAAAAAGCTAGTTCAAATCTACATAATCAAACTACTCGTCCCGAATAAAGTCACACACAAATCGAGTTGTGACATAATTTATCCAAAATTTTAACACAAATGTGAAAATCCCGCCAACGAGACAAATTAAACATAGATATGGAGTAGAAAAAACGTGGAGACGGTATAACTTTATTAAAAAAAGAGAATAAAGTAATAACAGACTCCAGATTACTATCACACATTTCTTGCTTATTTAAAGTCCATTATTCCTCAATTCACTTTCAAAAAAAATAAATTGATTATACAAACAACAATATAGTTATGGAGAAATTCAATTTTGTAGCAGTGATTATAGTCCTGTTGATGTATATTGAATCAGTAAAATCAGAAATTCCTCTAGCACCAGCACTATATGTATTTGGGGATTCAATATTTGACAGTGGAAATAATAATGTTTTGCCAACTTTAGCTAAGGCTGATTTCAAACCTTATGGTTCGAATTTTGATGGAGGCAGAGCTACTGGAAGATTTACAAATGGAAAAACTGTTGCTGATTTTATTGCTGAATTTCTCGGATTGCCATTTTCTCCGCCTTATTTGAGTTTACGAGGATCGTTAAAACTCACCGGCTTAAATTATGCTTCTGGATCCTGCGGCATTTTACCTTATACAGGAAATTTCATCGTGAGTACTACTTTTTTTTTCCATTACTGTTAGATGTTCGTAGAAATGGATGCACGAAATTCTCCAAACAAAAATTTCTTGTGTTTTTTTTTTTTTGGTAGGGGAAGTGCCTGCATTTTTCAGAGCAAGTTGATTTATTCGAGAGAACGGTAGAGCGAGAATTGCCCAGAAAATTTAATGATCCTGAGGAGTTTTCGAGTTATTTGTCTCGGTCGATTTTTGTGGTGTCTACAGGCAGCAATGATTATGTAAACAACTATTTACAGCCAAATATTTATGGGACGAGCAAGCGCTATACTCCTGACTCATTTGCCAAACTTCTCGTTGATGCACTTTCTCAACAACTTCAGGCAAGCTTTTCTCGCTTTTATGATTTAGAGCTGATATACTCCTCTACATTTTAAGATAGATAAGGTAATTTTTATAAATTTTTCGATTTTATTTTGGTATGGATCATTTGTGCAGAGGTTATATCGACTAGGAGCAAGAAAGATAATAATGTTCGAGATAGGACCAATTGGTTGCATTCCATCATTTACAAAGAAGCTTCGACACAATGGACGTTGCAACGAAGAATATAACGCTCTCGCAGTAATTTTCAACAATCAGCTGAGTGAAATGCTCAAAAATCTCACTTCCACCCTTCAAGGCTCCGCTTTTATTCTTGGCCATGGTCATTGGCTCGGCTACGACGCCATCATCAATCCTTCTGCTTATGGTAATATTCCTTTTGTCGACCTAAATTATTTGTCACATTTTTTTCGAATATCAAATTATATAAATATTAATCAATGTTATTTGAAATATATTTTTGATCATATTGTTATGAAAAGAATTGTATTTTATATTGTATCAAAATTTTAATTTTAAAATATTAAATTAATCTAATCCTATTAAGCTTAGTCAAATTACCACTCAAAATATTTAGTGACAGAGAGTATGCATAACTTTCCGAAAAAAGAGTTCATTAATTTCATACCCACATCATTCCACGTAGCATCATTTTTCCACTTCTTTTTAAAAAAAAATTTACCTCCATTTAATTCATGTTTCTCCCATTTTTCAAATGAAAGTTGAAGCTTATTAGCTTTCAGCTTTAGATATGAAGAAAATTATGTTGGGAGTGTCATTCTTTAATAGGCTATGCAAAGCGCGATCTAAATTTAATTGAGATTCTAATATGAATATCGAACATCGAATATACGTGTTGGAAATATAAAAAAAAAATTATTAGCTAATAAATAAGACATATAAATTGAAGGTAACTATGTGTTGATGACGTAGTAGTGCTAATTTAAGATTAATTTTACCGTATTCGTCAACTTATTATTAGTAATGTCCGATACCGGGTCTATAAATAAACCTTTGGTGGATAATTTTCATTTCATTTGAAATATAGGATAATCAGCTTGATTGCATTTATCTGTTACAACAATTTATTTCTGAGTCGGTCAAGAAGTTTGATTATGCTGATTTAACTTTATTTGAATGACGTGTTTCTCTAACAAGGACATATCTTCCTTTGCTTTAGTTCTAAAGTCGATTAAATCACGACATTTATTTGATTAGACAGTTATCAGGTGATCTAGAAGACCTTATCGATAAGATTTGAAACATTATTAACGTCGTTCTTTATTATTTTTGTGTTTGTAGGTTTAATGGATCCAACAAGTCCATGTTGCATCACTTGGGGAAATGGGACATCAGCTTGCATACCAGAACTTGAGCCGTGCGGCGACGCTGATAAACACTACTTCTGGGATGGTTATCATCTTACTGAAACAATATATAGGGTTATTGCTACTAAATGTTTCAATGGAACATCTCTTTGTATTCCCAAAAATATTAAGGAACTTGTGGAAGACTGATAAGAGAATTTATAATTTGGTTTTTTAGAAGAAAAATAATAATAAGGTTTGTATATGATGAGTACTTAATTAGTTAGTACTAGAATCGTTATGAAGTTTTAATGGGGTTTAGTGTATCTATGCAAGAGTAAAGTGAATCAATAAATTTCAGATAATAAGTTGAACAAGAATATTAAAGAAAGAATCAACAAATAGCAATTTATTGTAATTTTGATTTGTTAACATGAAAAAAATGATTAAATAGCTTGTTTGGACAAATTAATACATATATAGTGATAATGTAAATGAATTATGATTATCAATTGTAAATTTAACAGTATTATCACATGAAGAACCAGAAAATGACCAAAATGATCCTTAATATATATATGAGTAATGCTTTATCGTGGTTCTTAATATATTTCACTTGATTGAAATGGACCTTAGTGTATAACAATTGTGTTCATTTTGATCCTTAATATATTTCACTTGATTGAAATAGTCCTTATTATATAACAAAATGTGTTCATTTTGGTCTTTCACTCTAAATCTAACAGATTTTTTTTAAAAAAAAAGTGTTGAACTCAACTATAGACCCTACGTGGCTAACAAAATTCACCATTGTTGTCTTCTTTGTTAGCTCTAAAGAATGAACTCCAAAAAAAACTAACACCATTTTTTCTTTTCTCCAACAAAATTTACTATTTTCTACTTCCTAAATTCCACTGACGTAAAATCCATTTCTTTTTTAAACAAGAGAAAATATTAAAAAATTATCAAGATAAAAATAAAGATAATGGTGTTAGATTTCACAGAGCTTTTCTTTGGAGCTAACAAAGAAGATAATAATGATGGATTTTGTTAGCCACGAAGAAGGGTCAATAGTTAAATTTAATTATTTATTTATTTTGATAAAATCCGTTAAGTTTAGAACAAAGAACTAAAATGAACATCTTTTGTTATACATTAAGGACTATTTCAATCAAGTGAAAAATATTAACGACAAAAATGAACACATTTATTATACATTAAGAATCATTTCAATCAAATAAAATATATTAAGAACCAAAATAAAATATTACCTATACATTAAAAATCATTTTAATCATCCCCTAAATAATGATAAGATTTGCGTACACCATACTTTTCTCATTTATCTCATTCATAGGATTCTGTTAAGTACATTGTTGATGTTGTTATTGTGTCACATGAAGAAAGACAAATTATGAAAAATGGCGAGGAGTTTAAATTTTGATTTTGAAAGGATATTAGAGTAAATAAATTCATATGTTTTTTTTTGGCATAATACATAAATATGATTCTTAACTTGGTTTCAAATTATAACTTTGACATTTAACTTTAATAGTACACAAAGAGACACTTTAACTATCCAAAATTTAAAAAAAAACACTAGAATATTTCAGACAAAACGCGTGATATACAAATGCTTTGACGTGGATAAGTGAACCACTCAGTTATAAATACACCTAGATTTTAAAAATAATAAAAATAAATTATAATATAGAATAAGGTGAAAGTGAAAACAAATTCATTTTTGGTAAAAAAAATTACCACGCTCTTCTCCTCTTTCTTCTCAAAAAAATAAAAAACCTAATCTAAATTTCTGAAATTCATGCCCTTATATTCAAATCAAATATAAGGAGTCCCTTAAGTGTGGATCGAAATGGTTGATTGAGAGTCTTCGAACTTAGATTGCGTTCGATTTTTACAAGTGTATACTCACCACATCTTGCTTACAATAGATGTAGGAAAAAATAAAAAAACTTCATTATAGCTTTTTTTTCACATTAACAAAAAATAATTAAATGTCACTTGCAATTTGTGCATTTTGCAATGAACAACAAATAATGCAAAAAAA